ACTCTCTCTCTCTCTCTCTCTCTCTCTCTCTCTCTCTCTCTCTCTCTCTGTACGTATTTCTCAAATATGTATATTTCTCAGATATATAATATTCAAACTGTATATTAGAATCTTAGTATGTAATAAGAAAAAATGTGACATATGTGGTACATCTTTGGTATAATATAGTATATATTTCAAAGAAAAGGGAATATTTAATACATAATTTACGATATCTTTCGAGTATTTTCAGAATCTACATCTGCTATTAGGGACAGTTCATGATAATGGTTTGCATGGTTTTAAAAGTAACCACGATAATCTCTAGATGAAAAGATGGATAAAACTTCATCATTTTTATGCAAATTGCAACTTGCAATAAACATTAAGAAAAAATTCTTGCTTTCCTCAAAAGCTTTACGATTCTATGAGTTCTTTTTAAATAATATAATTTTCTCTTCATGATTAATTTGTTGAAATAATAAGGCAATTATTAAAATTATGTATAAGATTTTATAAGAATAAAACGGAATATAACTTATGAAAAAAATACTTGTTCATAATATGCAAACAATTTAGGATTATTTTTGGATTTTCTAGATTTCTTTTTATTATGCATTTCAAACTTAAATAAATTAATCTATAGTTTTATTTTCCAAAATTAATTTTATTTAAAATTTTCTTATAAAAAATATTTCCAACAAAATATTTGTTTGTATTTCCGTCAACAATGATCAATATATATAATGCCAATTAATCAATAATATTTAACACATTTTTATGAAAGAATATAACTTGTACATTTCGGATTTTGATAATTTAATAAATTATTACATTATTATAGTCACATGTAATATAGTATTATAATTTATTAAATAGAGAAAAAATTGTATTGTAGGAAATTGTATGCGATTTTAACATTAATTTATGTAAATTGCATCTTCCTTTTATTGTACCTATTAATAAAAGAATATTCCAGCACTTATATATATATATATATATATATATTTGTGATCTGTAAAAATATTCAATTATAATATAGACAATATATATCAAATATATTACGCATTTCTTTCCGCTTGCATTATTTTCATGCTAAGCGCTGTTATATCGCATATTCTTATCTCTTTGACGGAAAAACATTCTAGATTACATATATAATTCGCAAATATAAGCATTGAACTTGAAATTTGCGCTTTTATCAGGAAGTTAGAATCCCAGAATTTGCACAGAAAAATTCGACAATCTCTAAAAATATAACTTGATAAATTTTTTCTTTCAATAAAATAACACGATTCTTCTTTTTAAAATAACAATCAACTCCAAACCTTTTAACTCCTTAATTTCCGAACTTTATATTGATCACACACAAATATGTTATATAAAAAGAGAATGGTTTCGCATAAATATAAAAATATGAGTCTAAAAATAAATATTGAATCATCAATAACTTGTTGAATTATTAAAATAATTATATAGGAAACTCAAGGTAATTGATCAATTATCAAAAATAAAAATTTTACTTATCATCATGTTTAAATCGTTATTCTAATAATTTAATAAAATTATTTTCCAATATTTATATCAAATTTTTCGATATTTTGACAAATTCGTTCCTTCCGCGTTAAAGAAATATTTTGTTCAAACTCTCATACTTATATAATTACTGGTAATTATTATACAACAAATTAAAAAAATTAGAGAGTATACGTATTATATTCCTATGTATATAATGTTATAAATTATACGTACATTTATATTTATATATAATATGTATCTGTGTACACATACATATGCGCAAATGCATGACGCGTTCTCCCCCCTTCCCCCCCCACACACACACACACACACACACACATCACGCTATTTTTTAATATCTAACGTACTTATAAATAATATCTACAAGAAATTGTACGC